TTTATAGAGAGAGAGAGAGAGAGAGACTAATTTATTGATTTATTATATGATTAATAAATAGCAATGAATGAATTTATTAATATGAAAATAATATATTAATTAGAAATAATAATATTTAATTAATAATTAATCAATAAATTAATTAGATTAATTTTGGGATTAATTGTATTAATTAAAAGTGCAAGGGTTAAAGTGTCATTGTTCAATAGTTAAACAAGAAAGAGTCCAGAACCTTCCTTGAAAGGAGGTGGACAAAATTAGGGTATTTAAGGGTATTTGGAATATTCCTTGCAGATAAATAGGAAGCTAGATAATTACCAAATTTAATAAATATTATTTTATTCATTTAGGGTTATCTAGGGTTTCCAAGTTGCACTATATAATGACCCCTAACCTTCATTTTTTGGCCAACCATCTCCTCCTACTCAAAAGAAGGCCCAAAATCATCCACTCTCTCCTCTCTCAAAAGCTTATTGTTGCTAGTGTTAGGTGTGAACCATCAGAGGCACGACACTTGTGGTGCTAGCTTCCAAGTTATTGAAGAAAAAAATTATTGAATGTTTACTAGAACAATCAAAATGTATGGTTTTTCATCTACAATTTTCGAAACTGCGTAGGGTTAGTGTGTTCTTATTGTTCAATAGAATGTTACATCAATAGTGTTATGAATTAGATCTTTAGGTTACATGTTCCCTTAAGTGTTAAGGATTTATCCGTGTTAATACATGTAAAACCCATCACACTCCGCCTCGCAAATATCCCCGCTATCCTCACCATTTGCTTCGAGCATGCCAATCGTACACAATACATGACTCGATAGATAGTCGAATAAATGATTCTACCTCAAGTCCAGAACCAAACAAGGAACAAGAAGAAAGGCTAAATCATGCATTCTAAGGCTATAAAATCCTAACTATGTACAATTATGCAGCATACACTAAGCAAATAGCAATGATAGGTTCAATCTTATAAAAGCAATCTCCTAGGATAAAGGCATCACAAATCAGGAAACCCGAACACACTTTTCTTAAAGGATCCTTAACCTATCACTTAGCATGCAGTTCTATCAGTTCATAAGATACCAACTCAACACTACACATAGAATAAATAGAGATATTTGGGAAACTACCTCTCGAGCTCTGGTTGATTGTACACACTGCTTCATCTGGTTTTCTCTTTTGAAATTATTCGTTTCTTTTGGAAAAAAATTTATAAAAATCCTCAGATCCTTAGTTTGAGTTTGGAATCCCACGAGTGTTAATCCAAATCCCTAAAACTAGGGCTTTAATACCAATTTGTAACATACAAATTTCCAAACCAAAATTTTCATTTTAAAATTCATATAAAAAAATTGTTCATAAAAACCATCTTAAGGAAATCACAAATGTCAAATACAGATTATCATCAAAATATCAGAGTGTCCCAAAATATCCAGAATTATAAACTGCAGACGAATGTGTACAATCAAGCCTTCACCTTCCTGTGATCCTTAGAAGTACCTGAAACACATTTAATCAATAACTGTAAGCACGAATCTTAGTGAGTTCCTTAAAATACCACATACAACATAGCAAAAAAATAAATAGCTATGGGTTATCAGCAACCCTAGAGACTACCTGAAGTCTCAATGGGCAAACAACACGCCCTATGGGTTATTAACAACCCTGGAGACTACCCAAAGTTTCAACACACACAGTAACACATATCACAATAATATAACATAAACCCAGTTGGTTATCACAAATATAAATATATTCTACCACACAGGTAAGAATAGTGAGGAGACTTACCTCGCATAGATGACTGATAGAACTCACACCCGAACTGCCGGAACTAGACTCCGCCTAATAATTACACCAATTACCCTAACTAATAACTAAGATAATTTTCCATACTCCACTAATGCCAAGCCAAGTATAATCCATAATTAGGGTAAAAGACCATTTTGCCCCTTCAAAAATCCCTCACAAATCCACTTAAGGCACAATTGGTCAAAAAGTCAACGAAAGTCAACCTGCAGTCGTACGCACGACGTACCCAGATTTACGCTGGACGTAGAGCGCAAGGTAGGAAAGAAGTCGGGTTCGCAACTGGCTACGCTAGGCGTAGCCAGAATTATGCACGGGGTACACGACTTAATCCCAAAACTCAACTTTTAACATCTTAATCATTAAGACATTTACTCTAACCTTAGATCTAACCCTTAAAGAATGTCCTAATGCATAAAGTCTCTGACTTTATGCCTTTGCATGGCTAAAGAGAGCTTAATCCCCAAACCCTAACATTTCACTTCACTAAAATATCCGTAACTCATGCATGGAAGAAATGAAGGACCAAACTAACATTTTTATGACTCTAAGCACCCTAAGACATCTGAAAGGACAACTCATATGCTCTGGAGTATTCCATACTCACAAAGATCAAGGTTTTGGGACAAAAAGAACATAAATCCAAGCCTAGACAAGATCTATCAAAACAAGCTCCAAGGTATGAACTTTATACCTTCAAAAGATGAACAAAGAGATGTAGATTATGGATCGATCTAAAGGCCTGAATGCACCACCACTCCTTGGATGATCTTCCTTCGCTACCAAGAACACTCAAAGATCACTCTCAAGCTTCAAATCTCCCTCACAAGGTCCATGGTTTTGATTTTAGGGTTTAGTGGTCATGAGAAGGTCCAAGGGGATTAAGATGCTTAAATAAGGGACATAACCCTAAAAAATTTAGGGTTTAAGGTCTGCACAAGTACGCCCGACGTTAGGGGTCCAAATGAGCCGAGTCGAGCCCGAGCCGAGGCTTGAGCTCGAGCTCGACTCAATTCGGGCTTTCTTGTAGTGAGCTCGGCTTGAGCTCGTAAATAATTATACAAAATTGGCACGGGCTCGGGCTCGGCTCGTTTTTTTTTGTTTCACGTGTCTAAATAAGCTTAAGCTCGACTCGAGCTCGTTATGAAGCTCGTTTACTAATACCCTAAATCCTTAATTCCCTAAATATATTTTTATTTTAATATATAAAAATAATAATAAATTATATTATAAAAAGGCTCGTTTAGGCTCGTGAGCCTAATCAAGCCTAGTGACATAGGCTCGAGCTCGAGCTCGTTTAATAAACGAGCTTAATATTAAGCTTGAGCTCGGATCAGACTCGTTTAAAATCGGTTTCGAGTCGAGATTTTAATGGGCCGATCCCAAGTAGCTCACAAGTAGCTTGGCTTGTTTGCACCCCTACCCGACGTACCCATATGTACGACGAACGTACTCCTTCTCCGCCACGACTTTCAAGATGACTTACGCCCGACGTACAAGCCTGATACGCCCAACGTAAGGGCCTTAATTGCAAACATTTAAAATATAAAGGATTGAAATATAAAAATACATGACATCGGGTGTTACATGCCAATTTGGTCACTTTAATTTAAGGATGTCATTATACTTACTACTTTATGCTAATAAACAACCAAATTAAAATTTATAATCAAATAATATAATGATAAATGAGAAGTGTTCTTTTGTTGGTTCTTAGAGATGTTGGTCACTTGACAAATCCATTTGCATATTGTATTATTATTTAAAACATATTTAAGTTTATGTAATTATTAATTTTTGCAATAGATTAGATGTTTCAACCATTGTTACTTTTTGCAATTACCCACAAAAATGAAAATACCGGAAATGACAACTTTTAATTTAATTTAAAAAATAAAAATTTAATGTAGAATGTCATTGCGAATATTCCTCTAGGATTCCGGACTTCACTCCGGAACACATTGTTTTGAATAAAATGATTATTTTACCAAAACAAAATTAATCAAGATAAAAAAATATTTATATCGATTAGATTAGTCCATTTTTCTTAATTAAAATACTTGGTTACATTAACAAAGAATACTTTTTTTTAATAATACTAGAAGAAAACATAAGTCAAAACTATTGAATTCGCATGACCCATACTATCGCTACTCCCTATGATAAAGTTGATATGAGAATCTAGGAGGAGAAGAGCACCATAAAAGCACGGGAGGATGAAAAAAGAAATCCCTATTATAATAAAATAATAGTTTTAATTTCTTTTTAACATATATCCATTAGGCTTCCTAATTAATGTATATTTTTTTTGTCATGTGTCACTCTATTAGATATTTTAATTAATGCATGTCACTTGTCAACCTATTAATTCTTCATTTCAAATTTTAAATTTATAACGATTATAATTTTGTATAACTAAAAAATATTTCTTAATTAATAATTTATTTAAGTATTGATTAATAATTTTGAGTTCTTATTATGAAAATTTAATTAATTTTGTAACCGTGTTCCCAAAGCTTATAAACTAGTTAAAGCAACAAACTAGGCCTGGCAATCGTGTCGTGTTCGGGTTGGCGTGTCGCGGGTTGGCGGGTCAAAATATGTCAACCCAAACACGACCCATTTAAATATACAGGTCACGAGTTGGCGGGTTTGGAACACATAAATGACCCGCCAACCCATTTATTTATACGAGTTCACAGGTTGACGGGTTCGTGGGTCAGATTTGGGTTCGTGGGTCCGAATTTTAAACATTTAAGTCTTAAACATCCAGATGAAAATTAAAAACATTTATAGAAACATGTTACAGACTTAGCCTTATAGGTTACGACTTACGACCTTAGACCATCCACCACGAGTCAAAATGTCAAAACAATCAAATGGTCTATGAATCAATGGTATACATTATATAATACTTATTAAATATTAATGCTTGATACATAAATACATTTAAAAATAAAATATTTTTTTTATTTAGAATATAAACGGGTTGGCGGGTCAACCTGTTTATTTTTGAGAAACCCATATATGACCCGTTTAATAAACGGGTTGGCGGGTTGGCGGGTTGAAAAACTCAACCCAAACTCATTTATTTCGTGTCGTGTCGCGGGTCGTGTCGAGTTTCGTGTCGAGAATTGTCAGCCCCTACCACAAACAACAAGCCCTCGAGGTGCATATACATATACCCCAGCCTTATCTACAATCCCGAATGAATTTAGGGTAAAATCTAACAGACAAGACGCTCTAGAATTTGAATAAGGAATCAATACATTCTCGTGTTCTTGACATTCTAACATCTTTCCCCATGGCTTTGTCTGCCTCATCCACCGGCCGAGCAATCTCCTCCGTAACCATCTCTTATTCACCATTATTGGGGTTTCTCAAACCAAATCATCGACATAATCATATAAGCTATGGGTTTAACAGCAAGTACAGCTCCATGGCCATCAATTGTTCGTCTTCTGAAAATGGTCGCTCTTCAGATTCCAGGGCGTTTAGGTATCCACAATCATTGCTTGTTCTAACGATTTCGTCTTTCAGTGTATGCATGTCTGTGAAACCTGTATGAACATCGTGTTAATTTGAAGGTACAACTGATATGTTTTCTAACTAGCACCCAGAGAATAAAAATTTGATTTTTTTCTCATTTAGGCGTGTAAAGTCTTGATAATTGAAAGCGGGTATGATTGATTATGAACAAACAATATGTGGGTTTCAAGGAATAAGATTGAATTAACAAACCTATGGGATCTTAGCCTCTTAGGCTAATTACACAATGGATTATAGGAGCGACTATTTCTTGCAAATTGTGTATAAAAGTTTGTGTAAAAGATTATTCCCACTTAGTGATCACCTGTCATCAACCCTTCTCTTATTCTTCTAAATACTAATTTCCACTTTGAATGGTTAGTAGTCTTTCAAATCCCTTTCCTCATTTTTGCGCACATTCACATATCCTAAATGACATCATACACATAACAACCTGTCATGTAATGTCATGTCCTTGACAACAAAATTGGGCCTAAGAGAATTAGATGTCCCATTTATGTTGATTACCTCTTTTGTTTTCTCACCTATACATCCCTAATGTACTTTTTCCAATTCTTTTGGGATTAGTTTGAATGAAAATGGAAAAGCCAGAGGTTCTGTTAAGTGGCAAAGGGTGCTTCTTAAAGTAAGTGGAGAAGCACTTTCTGGAGATGGTGAACAAAATATAGACCCAAAGGTAAGAAAGGTTGTTCTTTCTTGTCAATAATATGCGATTATATGATATATTATTAACATATAATCCTCTTCTTTTTAAATTCTAGGTTACAATGTCTATTGCAAGAGAGGTTGCAGATGTTACTCGGCTTGGCATTGAGGTAGATTTCTTTTTCTTTTCTCAATTACAATACTTCCTCATAATATCTTTTACTCATTCTAACATCACAATTTATGTTCAGATTTTTGTAATGTGAAAGGGGTTATAATTTTTTGCATTACCCTTTAAATTCTATATATGATTTTGAATGAATGTTTCAGGTTGCCATAGTTGTTGGTGGAGGGAATATCTTCCGTGGAGCTTCATGGGCAGGAAGTAGTGGTCTTGATCGTTCATCTGCTGATTACATTGGGTACAATTTATTTACTTTCCTTCAATCAATCTTCATCTATTTTCATGTTGTAAACAAAATCAACCTTTTTTTGGTGAATTACATGTTTTTCTTATGATTCTTGATAAGAATGTAAGGCATGTGAACATGAGTTTGCATATTATACCTATGTTTTTAGGCAAAGTCATGTTTTTCGCAGCAAGGGTAATTTGGTAATTTGAAACATGTTTGCTTCTGGTAAAGACGATATTAATTGTCTACACAAGGCGCTACTTTTTTGTCACTACTAAAGGGCATTTTAGTCATTTGGCAAATAGCTCATTACTTTTCTGAAACTTTAGTCAAACGTTGCAATTTTCATTAGATGTCTTAAGAAATTTCCACCATTCCTTCTTGATAGAAACAGATTAAAGGAAAAATGTTGGTATCTACTAAACAATTATATAATGTATCAAGATACAAACATTTTTAGTCCCTATTTGTTTTCTTTTATTTCCCATTAAGTGTTGTCTGGATAAATGGTCTCAAAAATACTTGAGAAAACGATGGAAAAAGTAAACAACGAGAAATTTAAAAAAAAAAATTACCTCCTTTGACTTCCTCTATTAAGACTCTGTCTGCATTAAGTCAAAAAGAAACACTCGTATATAATTTTACCTGATTGAGAACAAATTTGTCAAACTTAGGACTTTAACATGAAATTGAAAACGTTCTTTCTTTCCACTGACTTTCTATATTAACTCGTTCTTTTTGTATTAAGTAAAAAAGAAAACACTCCTATATAGCTTACCAGATTAAGTCATGTCCCCATTAAGTGAAAATCCATGGAAAACACGAGGTAATTAATTTTAATTTGAAATTAAAATTTTTAGTATGTTGGCAACTGTTATGAATGCTATATATCTACAAGCAACAATGGAAAGCATAGGAATCCCAACAAGAGTCCAAACAGCATTTTCGGATGTCTGAAGTGGCTGAACCTTATATTCGTAGACGAGCCATCAGACATTTAGAAAAAGGCCGTGTTGTCATCTTTGCAGCCGGAACCGGAAATCCCTTCTTCACTACAGACACCGCCGCAGCCCTTCGTTGCGCAGAAAGTAAGCAATCCTTTCACTTGAATTGACCAAAATACCCTCCACTTTCGATAAATTTGTACACGAAAAGAAAATAATCCTCACTCGAGCGTTTCCTTTTCCTGTATGCAGAAAGAACGACTTAATAGAGAAAGTCAGGGAAATGAGACTACCTATTTACAATTTTGCCATTGCTTATTTTTTTTTTTTGGAATTCAGTTAATGCGGAGGTAGTTTTAAAAGCAACAAATGTGGATGGTGTGTATGATGAAGATCCAAGGAATAATCCGGAAGCTCGACTCCTTGACTCTTTGACTTATCAAGAAGTAACATCAAGGGATCTTTCTGTTATGGACATGACTGCAATCACTTTATGCCAAGAAAACAACATCCCGGGTATGTTCTAAATAAACTACTTAATATATTTTTATTTTTCTACTAAAATATTTTTACCGATATTATAAAATATTTAATCTAACATTTGTAATTGTTTTACAAATTTCATGTCACATACTGCTATTATAGTTAAATAAACGAAAGTATGTTATGATGTAGTTGTTGTATTCAATCTTGGGAAACCGGGTAACATTGCAAAAGCTATTAAGGGTGAAAGAGTTGGCACACTGATTGGTGGTGTGTGTGTCTCAACAGCCACAAGGACTTGAAGGGACCTTTTCTGGTTATATGTGAAACTCCGAGGTTCTTTATACTAATTGTATGCATCTAAAATAAGAAGGTGAAATTTTGCATTGTTTTACATGTCATGGAGTTTTAGGTAGCTTAATGTAGTAGTTTTGTTAGCGTTATAGCGAGATTTATTTATAGTTTCTTTTTTCTTGTATTATCGGAACTTACAGGTGTTTGATATGTTGTTTTGTGTAACATTGTTCTCATTGTCTTTTGCTCATTCATATAAGGGCACGTAATTGTAATAAATTGGTTGAGTCAGTTTGTGATAACGAAATTACATAACAGTTTACTAAATGTTTCATAGATGACCTTCAACATAAGAAAAAGAAAGAAAAACGTGGTCCACCATGATGAAATAAAAAATAAAGGCACAAATAGTGACTAAAAGGAACACATTTAAATAATAAGAACAAATAAGCAGACAAATATTGGATGAATTACTGGTCTTTTTCTAAATTTGTCAAATATATTGATATTATATTGTTCATAGACTCGTCAAATATATGGTTTTTATTTGAGACATTTAACAGTAACTTTGAAGTACCGAAGGGGATGTGACCAGAACATTAGGAGGTTTCTAACCAGGTTTAAATGACGTGGTAGACAAATGAATAGATTTAGGTATATGATTAGAGTTGTGTTAATTAAGCATAGGATTAGAGGTATGAATGTTAGCTGTTAAATATTAGTTAAATTATTAATTATTTTTGTATGTGTGAAGCTAAAAGGGTTTATAGCCAAGTGATATTAAATACCGGTATATCGTTTCTTACCACAAATGGTTGAGGATTCAAGTAAGTTTAATAAATTAATGTGATTTAAGAGACGATTAGAAAGTGAGTTTTGTAAAAAAAAAAAATCTAAATGAAAAACCTTAATCTATCTAAATATCTATTTATATCTATTTATTATAATCCAAAACACTTCAACCATATTTATTTGAAATTCCAATAAAATGACTTTTAATAATGATTTTAATAATTTCAACTTATTTACTTAATTGATTGATTAATAAGAATATCAATTTTTTGAAACACCTAACTCTTCAACTTATGTTATTTAATTGATTAGTTAACTAGAATGTTTTGCCAAGAAAAACATTTCCACACTCATATTTGTTTTTTTTTTCATTTACTTTTGTTATGTATAGTGCATGGAATCGGGAAAGAAGTTGAGCATAAGACGGTTGCTTCAAATTTGTATAGTGGAATCGATACTAATAGAGAGGTAGGTGGCCGTTAACCGGTAGTGAGAAGACCCATGTATATTTTTTAATTATTTTGTTTCAAACTTTGTAAAATCTATTTTTATATTACTGATTCAAATTAGTTTTTTAGGTACAAGTCAAGGAAGGGGAATCTGACACACCAATATAAAGTCAAATGTAGACCTTCCAAAATATATATTTGAAAATCAATTATCATATTTACTATTCGACTTATTTTAAAACTCTTGATGAGATTTATATATAATTGTATATTTTGTTTGACATCATTCTTAATTTCAACGTTTAATATTTAAAAGTTCATATCTAAAATTTTGGATGTTTTGATGTAATATAAATAACGTAATACAAAGTCTATTTGGTCAATATTACTTATCAATAGCTCGTTCAAAACAACTTGTTTTTTTTATTTTAAAAATATTATTGGATAATAGAAAACAAATATTAAAGAGTATTTCAACTATATTGATGTTATAAAAAAAACTGATAATAGTTATTGGATAGCATAAAACTAAAAACGAAGTTTTAAAAACAAGAGTAAAACATATATTCCAATATATTTTTATTTTTTACCCACGATTATTTTAACCGCATAATTACATTATTGCGCAACACTTGAGTTTATGCCGTAGTTACTAAAAATGGCAAAGATGCATACAACAGTTACAGAGAAAATATTTCTCAATAGGTGTGGTGGGCATATTATCACAATATATCTACATCAGTAGTATCTATATGTTTTTCATAAAATATTATTTTAAATTATTATACATAATAAAACGAGTGTCAGCTTATAAATAGTAGCAAGTATTGAGCCAACTCCAATACCAGGTGCTTTGGAGTCTGGTGGATTTGCAGTGACCTTCGTTACCCTCAAATTGATCTCTTCCACCTGCTTCCCACCATCTACTAAGTCGATTGTAGCCTCCAATTCATCTCCATTCTTCGTTGTCTAATAGTCCCTCATTCTCTCTCAACCTGCCTCCTCCGCTGCTTGTAGTCGTCATCTCCGAGCCCCACCCTTGGATGCAATTTTTAAAGCTTCAACGACCCACCAACGTTGTGCTATCCCACCAGGTGCGCACCCGTTCCTTCTTTTTTTCACCAGCAATAACAAACCCTGTACACTACCCTTCATGATTTTCCCTCTCCCATGCTGCTCTGATGTCTAAACACCTACCTGTTGCTTCGAATTTCTTCTCCACTTCAATGGAGATGGGGTTTTAGTCAGATTTCATAAATGTTTTATTCATATTGTGTTTGGAGGTCAAAGTTAGAGAAACATGACACGAACTGAGAACGGGGAGAGAGGGTTTTAGCCGGATTCCATAAATGTTTCAGTGATATTGTGTTTGGAGGTCAACGTTAGAGAAAGACGACATGAATTGAGAACGAGACGAAGAAGAAGGATGCAATAGGATATAATCTTTTATGCGAGACGATGAGGTTAGTAAATCACACCCAGGACTAATACATCATTGTTACAGGATTACATATAATTTTGAAGTTCTACACACACAATTTTGACCTTTTGGGGATCGATTTTGTAAGTCTCCAAACATGATTTTTAGGTTTCTGCTATCAATTTTGAAAGTACATGTCTTTTTCCTTCTTCTTCTTTAGGTTGAAAATCAACAAGGAAGCACATAACACTTGTGAAATCGACCAACCTAAACTTGGAGCCGACTTCAATACAAGGGGGTGGACATACATCAAAAATTCATTTTATTTTTATTTATTTTGGCCATTTATTTTAATTAAATGTTATGTTATGTTGTTAATTACTTATTGATTGGGGGTTTGATGGCTTATATTTGATGATAGGCACCTACTGTTTGCTGAAATGCCCCTCTACATGGGTTTTTGAAATCACACACTTGGGAAGTACTACAAGTTTATGATGGTGAAGCTTTGCTCTGATATGAAAGTGAGTCGATTTTTTAGGGCTGCTACTGCAGTCTTGCTTTGATATGAGTAAGCCAATGGCCATATAAGGCATCCGTGAAATACATTAGTATTTTGATGAAATTCATGAGGCTAAGTATTTGACAAGGCCATTGTATTTTCTATGAGGAAAACATTAGTCTGTAATGATCTTGATGAGGCTCAGCGTCTGAGTTTGACTGGAGAGGGATTTAAAGGTAAAAAACAATACATATGTCTCCTTCAGTAGAACAGTGATATTAACTTTATTTTAATATTTATTTTTGATGTTGTAGTTGTAAATATTGATGGAACATTATTAACAAAGCCTAGTAAGTTATTGGTATAAGTGATGAAATGTAAGAGAGTTCACATGAATATGATGATAAGAAGATAGAAAGTTTGTGGATTAACTTAATTACATGTATATTCTTAATATTCTCGCAATATCGTTTATACATGACAATAATCTCCAGGTCTCAAAAAGGAAAAAAGAAGGGTTTGAATCAGAGTTACAAGAATTAGGGTCAATAAATGAGATGCTGTTAAGATATCTGAAGCATTTGGGAAAATCAGTGTGGTTTCAAAGAAAATTGAGTATGCAAACATCGTGAAGGTTGTTTAACAATATCTTGTATGATTGTAGACCATCATTTTGGTAATGACTTCTTATATCACATCTTTTCATTATTCTGTTGCAGAAGAGTAGGAAAGAGAAACTTTCAAAATTGACTGTAGATGATATGCGTCTTATTTTTATAGTTTATTAGTTATTTTATTTGATTTACTTAGCCCACATAGCCTATTTATTTGGCACACACAACTATTACACAATCAATTAAGAGAAAGTCAATATATATATATATATATATATATATATATATATATATATATATATATATATATATATATATCTATATATATATATATATATATATGTGTGTGTGTGTGCGCGTGTGTTTCTTTGTCAATCGATTAGGTCATGAATGCGAATTACAATCGTCTTCTTCTAGTCTCTATCTCTGTTTTCATTCATGATAATCTCACATAATTGATCTCATTAGCTTTTATGGTCATTGTGATATTGTTTATCGTTGAGCTCGTTCTCAACCTTAATCAGTCTGGGTCATAACATTGGTATCAGATATTTACTTTCCTTAGACCTTCATAATAGCGATGATAAAGAGTATGGCGAGAAATCAACAACCAGTACCAAATCCAAATCAACAGAGCACCAACGAAGATCCTTCTAGGTCAGGAGATTCAGTTTCAACAACCACCAAAAACAATAGCTATTCTGCAAATCTAGGAGATATTGAGGTAATCCTAAAAACTGCTCTAGAAGATTTTAGGGTTAGACTTCAATGTGATAATCAACAACAAAATCTAAACATATTTGAAAACTCAAGAGCTATTTCAGAGATAGGTGAAATGTTGTCTGGAATTTCCATTCAAATGACTCAAATCATTGCAGGAAATTTAAAAACGAAGGGTAGGGTGTGACATCCCTATTTTCACGGCCAATTTAAAACTTTTTCTTTATGCTTATTTTATTCAGAGTATTCTTTCATTGCGGAATTTGTTCCCAAAATATTTAAATAAAGTATTTCCAAAAAAACATTTTTCATTATATAAAATACTGAGATGTCATCATCAATACAGAAAACATAAGCATAAACTATTCATTACAGACCTTATAACATTTATTCATACTAATGGCCTACAGACTCCTCAAATATCTCATCATCCATGTGCTTTCGTACCGCTATTTCTGATACAAGAAAACTAAGTGGGTCAGGCTTGGGAGCCTGGTGAGTACATAGAGTTTTCAACCCACAATAATTAAGTTTTTTAATTATATATTTCACATCAAATAATTGAACCGATTACTCATTCCCATTATTCTCATTTTATGATCCTAGAATACTGATCTTAAGGGACCTATCCTAAGGATCATCGTAAGCAATGAGTAGACAATACTGCTTAGGGGATTCCTTTAGCAATATATGTCAATAAGGCAACAATAGGGGAATAGAGTACATCAAATAAACATATGGTTCATTAACACCTACAGGTTGCGAGCCTGCCATCGTTCTAATGGACCATCTAGAATAGTCTGTGGTCATCATCTATACTCTTGTAGATGACCAGTTCATCTATACACTAGTACTTTAATAGAATTGACCTCTCATCATCATTTCATCTTTCATCACCTATCACTACCTAATATATTATATATATATATGAAAATACATATACGATCAAATCAGGAAAAATCATATTATTTCTTCGAACACAAATATCAAGAAATGCAGATACTAGGTACACATAACATTTAATCATCCGAATACTTTATATCTATTTTTAAGATGAAAGTAACTATGCACTCACTTTCTAAAACTGGATGACTCAAAATTCGGGCAGCGCTTCGCCTAACACTTTAGCTTTTCCCTTGATATGACCTAGGCATACATCATTAAGTCTTAGTCTTATATTCCTGGTGACTAATCATAGTATAGATTCTTCAATAATCCCAATGTCTACATCCAGATCTATCAAGTAAGGAGCAACCAGGTAAGATCATATCGGAGGTAGGGTTAGTTTGGTATACAGAGTATACTGTTTGGAAATCCCACTTTAAACACTTCACTAAATATAGCCTTGTTGAGTCTAAGAGTTTGCGTCATTAGGCTTAACTCTTAGGTCCATTTGTATACTCGGTCTGGGCCTGTCCAGCCGTGTTTTGTTTTTAGGGTTTAGTATATATATAGTGCATGCATGCATTATATTAATTACGCTTCTTGATTATTATTTTACAGATCTTGTACTGTAACCCTAACATACATCTACAGTAGCAATTCTCATTGAATTCTTCTGAGGTGGAGCAGATTAATCATTCGACACACGTTTGATTCATAGTGGTGTTTATCGTTTTCTATTACTTCTTATTGTCTTATTGATATCTGTTTGAATCTATCGATCTTAGAGAATATTATTCTCATCAATTGGTATCAAAGCGGGAGACTGTGTAATACATACACATCTCTTCTGTTGGAAGAATGTTTTTTAGGGTTTCCGCTTTTATCGAATCTGTAGGAGCTGTCATCTCTTCATTGACGTTGTTTCATGCTTTTGATAAAACCCTAATTTAATCTTTACGAGTCTGATTCTTAGCAGATATCTGAAAAAGGTCATCATGTCTCACGATGATTCACAAACCAATCCGATCAATATCTCCAACATCATTGGATCCACAACCAGAATCCCGATTCTATACACTCAAGATTATGAAGTTTGGACGCATCACTTTGAGGATTATGTCGTTGGTTATGAAAACAATGACTATCTTATCTGGGAAGCAATAACATTGGGTCATTTTGTTCATTCTGGAACAAATAGAACCATTAAGACTCAAAAGGAGTACAACAAACTCTTAACTGATGTGGACAAGATTCCTCAAGACGAAAAAGATAAGTTGTTGTGTAATGTTAAAGCCATGAGAATGATCAGATTTGCTTTACAGTCCGATACTTTTCGTTTGGTAAGCCCATGCACCACGACAAAAGAGATCAGGGATAGACTTAAAGAGCTGTATTCCACTGATGAGGACCTAGAACATTCTATCCAAACTCTATTGCTCTCTGAGTTCGGATCTTTCCAAGAAAAGCCAGATGAAAAACTTATTCAGGCATTCGATCGTTTCAACCATCTTTTGAGCAAGATGATCAAGCATGGTATTGGAAGAGAAGTGATCAAACAGAAGGTCACATTTCTGAATGGTTTAAGACCCTAATGGATGGCTGTGGTATCAACTGTGAAGGCTCACGAGCAGTTTAAAACCTATTCATTGGCGAAGATGGTGGGTATTCTCAAGTCTCATGAAAGTGTTGTGACAAAGGAAGCGAAAGTGGTGTCTATTATGGGATCATTGGCCCTTCTCTCTAAGGCGAAGAATATGGAAGAAGATGAAGAAGAGTCAGAATTGTCAGAATGTGATCTGACAAGCGAAGAGTATGCAATGATGGTTTCCAACCCGAAGCGGTTTGCTCACAAAAAGTTCCCTGTTGCCAAGAACCGAAACTGGCAGGTAAGCTACAGCTCAGAAAAGGCGAAAGAGGAGATCAAAAATAATCCTCAGAAAGAAGAAGAGAAGAAGGAGAGCAAACTGGTAGGAGACTCCGGATACGATTGCAACTTACCACTTTGACAAAGATTGCATGTTAAGAAAGCTATCAGAGAAGGAGGGTGAAGATGATGAAGCATACCATATGCGCAAGCTGGAGGAGATAAAGAAGAAGAAAGCCTCTAACAATTCTATGAATGCTTTGATTGTGCAGGAGAACGTTGTTGATGATGAGTTCGGTGGCGTAGAGGTCTGGTCTACAGACTCTGAAGATGAAGAAGTACGTAAACCCACGGATGGCAGGGCATTTGTGGCGAAAGAAGATAGTACTGAGTTTGCTGGGAGATGCTTGATGGTGACAGCTGGAGTGTCACAAATGAGGGGCTACACAACCGAAGGCGAGTATGATGAGGCGAATCAGAAGGAAGATAAGTGTTTTGCTGCCAAACCTGTGAGAGAAAGGATCAACGACTGCGATTAGTTGATCAAGAAGGTACAATCCATTCTCGAATCACTTAAAATACCTGTAACAAACTATGAAAAGGAATTAAACGAATTGAAATTCAAATTTTCTAGTTTAAGTGGAAGTCTAATGCAAACACGCCTCACAAATGCTAACCTAACCGATCAAATTAGCAGGGTGACATCTAAGCGTGAGGAGCGAAGGATGTGGATAGAGAAGACGGAGTTAGACTTAGTTAGAACGAGAGATGAGTTGATATATTTGCAACGTGACAATTTAAAGTTTTTAAAACAAAGGAACATTTTTTGTTTGATTGCTAAACGTCTTTACACTAATATTACTCAGTTACATTTGAATTGTGACATTGGCAAAAAGGTTCACAAAATGATTTTGCCCTTTCTTGAATTAAAGGAGGATGAAGTCGATGTTGATTGCTATAATTGTGAATCCATTGTATCATCAGGTGAGGTTTCGGATGCTTACAGGATTGGTCTGGACAAAATTGAGTCTTTTATTAAGTCCAAAGACCATAAGGACATGCTTAGAAATTTATTGGACGAAAATGACAAATTGAAAATAAAGACCGAAACCATGCACAAATCTGACTCATTGAATATCAAATTAAGTTCAGAAAATAAGATGAATGTGGAAAATTCTTCTGAATTTGATGAGGACAGTGGTATAAGTGAAATTTCTATAGTGGATGTGGTTGACTGCTCTGAATTCCTCAAAAGCGAACCCAAACCGGCAAAACCACTCATATCTGAAAACTCAGTTGAGTTCGCTCGTATGTTCAAGGACAAGTCCAAAGTCCTTAAAGAAAAGGCGGCTGTATATAAAAAGGTGCAAACAGTACCGAATCAAGTATATGTCACCACTAGAGTTACCAAGAAGAAAACAATTGAGCTAACTTCTTTGGTAGATGAAGACAACGCTGGTGGGTGTGATAATTTCTTCTGGTCAGCTCCCATTGACAATGCAGACGAAATAGTAGGTCTGTCGGAGCAAACCTCATGGAGAGTCAAGGGTAGATATGTGGCTGAACCTCTTA